TGGCTGTCAGCATGTAAGCTCAGGAAGGCAGGGATTTTGCATGGTTAGTCTCCTGCCACCCTCCTGGGGCCCCAAATGGTGCCAGGCACACAACAGTTGCTCTGTAAACACTTGGTGAATGGAAGAAATGAACCTGTTCCCTTTGCAGTGTGTTAACCATGCCTCTCATTAGCACCAGGGGCTGGCTGGTCCACAGAGGTGTGTTCCAAGGGTCAATCAAGCCTTTTAAAATTCACCACAGCATAGAACGACAGGGCCCACGTTTCTCCTGTTTCTACTCTTTATTGGCTCACCAAGGTGCCTGTTCTGTGCCACACTCCGGCTCCTGATCGCAGTTAAGGATCTGACCCACTGCTGTCCCTGCTGCCTTGCTCTGTTGCCCCTGACAACCTGACAAGGAGATGTTACACTTGATCTTTCCGCCTCAGAGCTATCGCCTTTTATCCTTAGGAGTCCTAAGGAGATGTCTCTGCTACTCACTACTGCCAGAGACAGCTGAAAGATGTGGGCAGTGCCCTAGGGGCTTCTCCGAGGCCGAATCCCTTGTTTCATGTGGCACTCACTCCCAGGTCCCTTGCTTGTCTCTGAGATTGGCCCCACTTGAGGAGTTTCACAGTTTTAACTTCTCACATGTATGAAGACTACAATATCACCTATAGAGACCTTTGGCAACTTAAGACAGCTGTGACTTTTTAATGAGCCAGTGCAATGATTAGTGTACAAAAGAAATAGTATTCCTTCTCTTTCTGGGACACAGTGTAGTCACAGGACTGGCAAGGGACAGGGTTTGCCACCAGAAAGTCACTTTTTGGAGCACAGTAGAATCCCAACGAGAGTGTTCCAGGCCCTTAATATTTACTATCTCCTGAATCCTTTAGCCTTCTCAAGCTATCCTTTATTTTACCTTAAACTTTGTTTTTCTTTTTCTATTTTTCTGAGACAGGGTTTCTTTGTGTAGCTCTGTACACCAGGCTGGCCTTGAACTCAAAGAGATCCACCTGCCTCTGACTCTCGCGTGCTGGAATTAAAGGTGTACACCTCCACCATCTCCTGGCTTACCTTAAACTTTTGTTGTATTTGTCTTCTTTCCCTCATTTCTCCTTTGTTTTCTTCCCTTCCTCTATTTCCTACCCCCTTTTTGCTTTTTTTGGGGGGTGGATGGTTGGGTCTTTCTTTGTAGCCCAGGTTGACTTTAGATCCTCTATCCAGATTCCTTGATGCTGGAGTTCCAGGCCTATACTGTCATCCCCATCTCCCCTGACTTCTTATAAGAATCCATCGCTGGGACCAGTCATGGTGGTGCGTGCTCTTGATTCCAGCCCTTTGGAATCAGAGGGAGGTGGATTCCTATGAGTTTGAGGCCATCTCAAATAGTGAGGTCCAGGCCAGACCCGTCTCGAAAGAAGAGGAGGAGGAAGAGGAAAATTCATGACATTAATCAGGGTTAGATCTCATCATTCAGACCTAGGGTGTGCACGTGTCTGACATCCCATCCAGCCCTGGGGGAAATGGTGGGGACAGTGATCTGCACTGGGGACACAGTCAGATCACCCCAGGAACTTAAGGTGACTGAATACTGGGGCTCCAACCTCAGAAGACACGAGGCTGGAAGCCAGACCCAGGTGTTGGAATGTTCTTCAAGTTTCCCAGGCAAGCCTAAAAAGCAGCCTGGGTCACCGGGATAGGTTAGCTTTCAAGTTTGGGGTGTTTGAGACCTATCAGTGATGTGCTAAGACCTGGGCCTGGATCACACCCGGCTCTTTTGTTTTTTCTAGGTCTGTGTGGGGCCAGGAGCCTGCATTTTTCACCAGTGCCCTGAAAACACTGCCCGTGCTCACCCAGGCACTGCACTTTGAGAAGCTCAGGCTCAAGGCAGGCTGGGTCTGTTTGACAGCTGAGACATCTGAGGACCAGCTGCAGGTGGAGTACCTGGCGAAATGGGACACTGGATAATCAGGGTCCCCGGCTCAGTTCCATGTGCGCTTCCTGTGGAGACACGTTCCCTATGTGTGAGTTTGGCGAGCGAGTCCACCTGGAGCCAGGTTGGTCTGCAGTGGACATTCAGGACCAGATCTGGAGGTCACTGCTGGACCGACTCCCAGACTCTTCCTTCCCTTGGAGTACTTGCTTAGTGTCACTGTCGGTGAAGCTGTGAGGTTCCCGGAGCAGGATCAACTTTTGATCCTCTCTGGGGTGTGGAGCAGGGAACAGAGCTGGTGGTGAGGTGTCTGGGGAGGCTCCGTTTTAGGGCCTCTGTATTTTCAATACCAGCAGCCTTATGGCCCTGAAGAGAATTGCATTTCTCTGATTCCCTTGGAGGGCCCGTGCGGAATCATAGCTCATGTATGTGCTCGGGCCCTGAGACTCTTAGTAGGCTTCAGGAAAGGCAACCCATTAGCCCTTTGTGTGCTGAGCCTCTGGCCACCCTGACATACATTGCTGACAGTGTTCCCTGTTTACGGTAGCTGGGGACATCAGACTCGATGCCTAGAGGTGGCCAGTCAGTTCTCTCTGCTCTCCTACTTTCTTCTTGCATCTGTGAGCCCCCAAGTCTTGGCTCTGGGTCTCTGAGGAAGGTGAATGCAAGCAAGCGGGAAGTTCCTAGAAGTGGGTGACAGGTCTCTGCAGAATTTTTCTTTATTCTCTCCTCTGTTCCAGCCCCCACATCCTCTCTCTTAGCTCTCTGCGGCAGTTGCCTCGAGTCTATGTGCCTGTCTTCATGGCCAGTATGGCAGCTATAAATCAAACCAAACCAAACCCAAAGCAACCAATAACCTCGCTCCCCTGCTTCAAACACTCCAGCCACACGCCATCAGCCCCTGAATACCAATTGGGCTACTCCTGGGCACACTGTGGGATCACCACTCAAGGGCTTCCCCCTCTTCTGCTACGACAGGACAGCACCTGTCATGGCTGGGGCTGGCTCCATCTTGACACCTGCCACCTTGGTTGACAGTTCTACGTTACCTCAAAATAAGTGGAACATCCTCCACCCCACTCCCTTCACCCTTCATCACACAGCAACTTTCTTTTTTCCCCAGTGCAAGCTGGTAGCTGAGATATTTAGTATCTGTCAGTCCTGCTGGGCCTGAGCCTCCTCTCCTTCATCTTTGTCCCTGGGTCCAGCTACAGCTGTAAACTGAATGACCCCAACAGCTCTAGGTTCATGGAAGAGATGAACCAGCTATACTCTTCCAAATTCCTTTAGATTCTCTGGAGTAGAGGCAATAGATTGTTCTGGAAGGAGCACTGGCAGGACATCACACCTGTATTCCAGGCCTGGACTATCTCCTCTATTTATTGGGGGGGGGGCTTGACCAAATCTCTGTGACCTATCTCAGGTCTGGCTGACTCCATCCTCTGGATCTGAGTTCCTGAAGGGAGTAGTATTCCAGAACCCCATTCCCAGGTGATGAGAGGTATGGGTGGTTTGGAGGATGCTACATCGGATCAGAACACCTGGGTTGGAATCTGGCTCCTGACATGCACCGGCTAGGTGACTTCAGGCTGTAACTGAATGTCTGAGTGTGTTTCCTCATTTGTAAATGTGGACAGTTCTATCCACTGTTCTGGCCATGAGATGGCATATGATAACCTGCAGTGGTAACCTACCAGGCACAGAAGCCCCCAAGAAAATGCCCAACACACAGTAGGTATTTAGTAGTCTGTCATGGTGTGAGGTTTTCTCTTATTACTTAGAAGCTTTACAAAAATATTGAAATACAATAAAGCCAAACTTATTCAAAGCTGGAGGAGACCACAGCAGTGGTGGCTTACAATTATGACTTGCAGCCCCCTCCCACCAGCTGGGAAAGGCACCATGGGAGTCAGTGCATTCCCTGCTAGTTTTCCATCCTTCTCTGCCACCTTCCCCAGACACTGACAGCTTTACCAGCCTTTCTTTGCTAGGACCAAATGTTGACACAGCTGTGCACCCTCCCTTCTTGCCTGGCTTCTGACGTCAGCTCCTGAAAATTTCAGGTTGGAAGTTGAAATCAGGGTGCAGCCCGAGCACGTTCCACAGGAGGAGACCTTCTTGGGCACCTGACAGGGGCTTCAGTCAGGCTCACTGCTGGGCACAGGGGCAGCTCTGACAAAGTGGCCTCTGGAGAGCAGGAGCTCCTGGAGGGGGCGCTGGAGTTTCAGCCTTGCTGGCAAGTTCAGACTTTGCTGGATACTTTGTCCTCCGCTAGATTTGGTTCTCTGAAGTGAAGACACCCAGCAGGCAGTGGAGTATGACCTGAACCCTGAGCTTGAGAAGAGAGGGGGCAGGGCTCATCTGCTCATCATTTGGAGGGCTCTTGCTTTGTACCCTCCCAAGCTGGTCTGAGTGGCAGAGGGGCTGGCAATGAAGGCTGCTTGCCTGGACATCGAATTAAAGCGGCCCGATGACTTTGGCTGGGAACTTTGTTAGCCTAGGCTGTCTGGTTTGGACCTCTCTTTGTCCTTCTCTTCTGGCTACCCCTACACAGGTATAGTCTTCTGCTCAGGGGCTCCCCCTGGGGGTGGGAGATGAAGCCTGTCTGAGGTACTGCGTTGGCCTTGGGGTGACACCCCAAGTCACAGTCCTCAGCTGCTTAGAACATCTCTGGTTTTCATGACTCTCAGGTATCCATTCTCCCTGACCCTCTCCAGCAGCGTCCAGAGGAGACGCTTCTGCTGATGGGCTGCTCTGGAGTTGTTTGGCCTCTAACCAGGCTACTTGGGTGTGGCCTATCTCCCTTTGTTGCACCCCGTTGTGCCCCAAGTGCCTGGAACTCTGGCTGGCCAAGTGTAAGTGCTCCGTAAACGTCCTGAGAAAGGCAGGGAGGATGGAAAGAGGGAGGGAGAAGAGTATCTAGGGTGAGTCTGGGAGTCACTGTGAAGGAAGGAAGGGGTCTTGGAGGTGTGACTGTGCTCAGGACATCCTGGTCTGGCCCGGCCCAGCCCAGAGCTGCAGCTCGCGTGCGGCCGGCAGGTGGCGGTGCTCTCTTGGCTGCGTGGCGGCTTTGAGTCCCCTCCTCCCGCGCTCCCTCCCTCCTGGCTCCTTTCTCTGCGCTCTTGCTCGAGCTCCAAGCGCCCTCCCGCTCTCTCGGCCGCGGTGTCGCCCGCAGCGCCCCGCTGCTGCTTACCGGCGACCATGGCTCCCCAGGGAACCCCGAGCGCCCCGAAGCGTCCTGGCCTCACCGTGCCGGTCCTGAAATCCCATGCTCCGCCGCCGCCGCGCTGGCCGCGCTTGTGGCCGCTGGTGCTGGTGGTGCTGGTGCTGGGGACTGCCTGCGGGGCGGCGGGGAGCTCCCCCCAGCCCGGGCGCCTGGGTCCCAGCGTGCAGGTCACCCGGCTGCTGCACGCGGGGCACACGGAGTCCGGCGATCGTGAGGATCCTCAGGCACGAGAATCCGAGCCCAGCGCCCCGGGTCATGGTCCGGGTCTTGCTTCGGATCCAAGCTCAGATGGCGCCCCAGCTCCGGGCAAGGGGCGCTGGGCGCGGGCGGCGCCGGTGGCCGGTTCGGCTTCCCGCGCGCAGGTCTCGCTCATCAGCACGTCGTTCGTGCTCAAGGGAGACGCGACACACAACCAGGCAATGGTGCACTGGACAGGAGAGAACAGCAGCGTAAGTGACCTCCTTGCGCCCCCGGCCCTTCCCGGACACCTCTGGATACTCAGGGAGACCACCACAGCCCCCCCCACTTCCGGACCACCCGCGGTCACCCCTGCTGGGCATTCTTGGCCACTTGGGGGACTCGGGTCACCTCGGGGGCGCCCCTACAGGCTTCTGGCTATGGGTTACTTTTGGAAGGGTCCTCAAATTTGCGAGATTCGTTCTTTCTCAGGTGGCATTTCCGAAGATCTGGGTACCCCCAAGCGTCTCTGGGCTACGGGGAAGTCCCTAGAGTCTTCAGGATCGGGACAGCATGACTCCAGGTTCTTGAGGGACACCTAGCTCTGTGCCGCGTGGATGGTGGGTCGCCCACACACTGCACTGCACCCAGCGGCTCCAGCGTGCACCCCTGGAATTGCTGGTTCGGGAAGTCCCTACGACCCGATCTACCCCCATCTTGGGGGCCAGGATAACCCTGTCAGTTCCATACCCTGTTATAAGACTTTTAATTCTAGGTTTGTTCCTCCTCGTGTGTCCCATGGCCATCTTTGGTCCACCCGGACCTAGGACCTAGGGTGTTTAACGTCATTTAACGATGTGAGATCTTTAGCGCTGGGTGCCCACTCCCTGCCTTTCTCCCATATCTCTCCCTGTGGCTGGAGACCTCCAGTATCCTTACACACCAACATCTAGGATCTAGCCTCTCCCGTTCCTGTTTTGGTGGTGTACCTCAGGGGCTTTGTTCATCCTGGTTAAAAGCCACAGTCACTCTGTCCCCACTGGGCAGTCCCAGGTGTATGCACGTCAGTTCTGCAAGTTTGTGCTATCCGGGAAAGTGTGTTTCATGAAGAGGGAGGTAGGAATCCCTCCTCACTGGCAGGCCACTGTCCACTCACACTTTCCACGTGTCCCCCACCCCCAGTAGCTGGCTCCATCTCTTTATCTCCCAAGTTTGGGTGAAAATACATAGGACCAGAATTCCTGCATGTACTGGAGGTGGGGTGGGCAGGTGTCCTCTCTTGGTTGTTGGGGGCTGCAGACACTTTTACCCCTGTTCCTTCTCCTAGCACACTTGGTGACTGCTAGGAGGTTTCCATTTGTGCTGGAGGACGGACAACCAAGTGGCGTTGGCTGGCTCCAAGCCCAGTCCTGCTGGCCCCTCCCCCACTGGCTGTCTGCATCCAGGATGCAGGTGTTTTCACTTGTGCCTAGTTAATGGCATCTGGGGAAGACTAACAGCCCTCAGAGGGCAGAGCTAGTGCTGTGGATGCAGCTGGCCAGCAGGGGGCAGTCAGGGTGCTCCTCCCAAGGGCAGGGAGGTGCCCTGATGCCCCCTCATCTGAACCTTGAGCAAGGCCTCAGACTCTAGTTATGTCGCTGGTCCCAGTCATTCAGAGATGGCTAGTAACTAAGTTAAACGGTGTCCCCTGTGCCACAGGCTGTTCTTCAGAACTGAAAGGCAGCCAGGAAACCAGGGACTGAAAACGACTGCAAGGGACTGGGAGAGTAAGCTCCATGGGCTTGGAATGTTGAGGTTGCTGATCCAGCTAGCTTACTCTTCTCACTCTGTCACTTAGCTTCATGGGAGGAAGGTATGAAAGAAGAGTGTGAGACACTGGGTGGGTGGGGCTTGGACCAACTACCTCTAGGATAGCTTGGTGTCCAGTTGGACCCCTTCTAGGCTCAGAGCCTGGCTCCTGAGTGGCCTCCTTGGAGAGTTGAGGATGGAGAATGACTGGCCAAAGAATTGGGAAGAAGCCTTGAGGGACCCTCTCCTGCAGCCATTATGACGTAGGAGCCGGCATAAGATGTGGACAGTAGGGCACAGCCTGGCACTTAGCTGACACCCAGCTGAATGTGTGTGGGACAGCATGGACACAGTGCCTGGAATCTGACCTGAGCCTTCTCCCTCCTCCTCCTCCTCCTCACTCACTGCACTCAGCCCTGGGCGGTAAGGAAGATGGGATGGGATTCTTTCCAGAAAACCTGGCCACCCGTGGCTGGGATGCTCTGAGAGGTTTTCCCTTGCCTGAGAAAACCTAGGAATGGAAAAAGATAGGTGAGGGCTGCCCCTGAGAGCTGCCTCAGTAAACTGGTCCCTTTAAACATGGCTCTCTTAGGTCTGATTGTGCATAGCACATTCTTGGCTCGTGAAGTGTCTTGGAAGCGTGCTGCTCCCTCCATGCTCAATGTGCAGCCACAGGGTCAGAGACGAGAGCCAGCACTTGGCAGCTGGCTGTACCTCTTGCTTGAAGCACCACCTTTGCAAGCTTGGATGAGAAAGGAGCAGACCCAGGGACTCTTTGCTGAGTGCTGTCTTTATGAAGTTGCCTTTCTGCTGCTTGCCCCTGCCCTCTGCGGATTCTGATTGGGTCCACCGAAGAGCATTTTGCTTTATCATGTCAGGTGCTTTTCAAAATAAGAGCTCTGGGGGAGGGGCATGGGCTCTCAGAAATGGCAGGAGAGCACACCCCGATAAGGGATGGGCTGAGGGACTGCAGGACGAAAGCTGGTTCCCCGACAGTCCCTGTCGCTGCAGCTCTGGGGACATATGTGAGCTTCCCTTGCAAAGTCTCAGTTCTTCCTGCTCCCATGGAGATAGGGAAGGGGGCTCGCCTGGAAGTTCAAACAGGGCCTCTCCAGCTGACGTCTGGCTGTGGCAACACATTGTTATGTGTAAGATGAGTGCTTCATGGAAACGGTCTATGGTTGCCTCTTGATACACCCAGATTGGGCTGTGCATACAAAGCCCTGCATCTCCACTGCGGTTGGATTATACGAAGGCATGAAACAGGCCACAGTGCTGGGCTCCATCTGAGGGTGGCGGTTTCCTGTTAGCCTGGCAGGAGTGTGAGGTACTGTTTTTTTTTGGGGGGGGGGAGAATTCCCCCGGGCTCCTTCCCACAAGGCTCTTGCATCGCAACTTTGACTCAAGGTTCAACTTGGACGTGAGCTTCCCACAGCCGGGACCCATCTCTGTTCCTCAGACTGACCATTTGCCTCTTTCCCACCTGCCTCACCCTGTGCTGTGTCTCCCAGGGGTGGTGGTGAGTGTTCACAGCTAATTCTGGGCAGAGTAAGCACACCCCACCCCACCCCAGGCATTGGTTGGACTTCCCACCTGTGTCATTTTTGTGTAAACGCAGAGAGCGCAAGCAAGCGTTGGAAGGTCAAAGGCAGCCTATTTGCCTCGGTTCCTTGTATAGAAGTATCATGGTCTCTGCTTTAGTTGTATGGGCATTCTGCCATGACCCCTGCACATGTCAGATTTCTTGAGGGCAGGTGCATTTGTTTGCTCTAACTTTGTGACAAAGGACCGTGACAGTGTGGGCCATGGACAGCAAGCTCCTTTTGTCCCTTTGTTTGCACCTGGGATGGGATTATTCCTTCCCGTTGGAACATCAATTTGGGTAAGGCCACCTCGACAGATTCATTATGTTGGAATCAGTGTTAGAAACCCTACTCCAGATCCAGTCAAGTTGGGAGGTCCGGGATTAGGACTTCAATTTATGAACTTTCATAACACAATTTAGCCCCCCCTCACCCCCCAGGAGCAGGGGGTAGAGGTCACATCTCACTTGCCATTATCTGAACGTGTCATCTGGCGGGAGAGGTGAGACGGACTGATGGACGCAAGCGGGCAGACGGTTGGAGAGCATCATCAGGGAGGGCAGCATAGAAGAGGCGGCCTCAGGGCTGGTCCAAAGGGCAAGCAGGTGGAGCAGATGAGAGAGGGAGAAAGTGCTAGCAGGAGAGGCAGCCTGGTGAGACCTGTGAGGTAGGAAATGGAAGGTCATGGAGACACTGAATGCTCTGTGTGGAAGCAGAACCCTGAGGAGATAAGTTGGGAGGAGGGGGAAGTTTGTCCCTGCCCCCCCCCCCCACTCCCCAGGTACATGGCTGTCGAGCCTGTGGCAGTGTTGGGTTGGTGGATAATTAAGTTTGGAGCCTGCTGGGCTGGGTGTGTCTCGGGCTCGCCTTCTGGCCTTGGCCCCTAGGACAGATGGGGGAGATGCTCTAGGCCTCTGTCTTCACCCAGGAAAGATGGACTCGCAGGTTAGTAGGTTTCCATGCAAAATGCGTAGATCAGAGCATGGTGTACAGCTATGACACTCAGCCTGGGTGGGACCAGAAAGGCCACAGGAGGGGTGCAGGGCTGAGGCTAGAGGGACTATGTGCTGTTTAGGTCGTGCCTGGGCTGTGTTGGGGACACTGAGTCTGAGGGAGGTGCCCAGGTGAGGGTGAATGGGGGCCTCTCACTTTCTTCAATGCTGGGCTCTGAGGCCCCAGGTCTGTGTCCGCCACCCACTGGTACCTTCTGGCATCTGAATGAATGGGTCCTTCTGACTTACAGCCTTCCTATAGCTGTGGCTTTGTAGTGTCCTAGTAGAAGCATCTCAGTGGCTCCCGGGCATTGCAAATTCCTGAGTTCAAGGTTCCGGGTAGCCAGTCCCCCTTTGTTCTGGGGCTGGAGTCTGGCTTCCCATGGAAGCTGAGACTGACAGCTTGTAGGCGCTGAGCGTTTGTCTTTGCAGCCACTACCAAGGTGTCCCGTGGCCACCCAAGTGAGACAGTGACCAAGGATGCTGTGGCTGATGTTGAGTGTCTGTCACATGGGCTGTCAGGAGCTTGGCACTGGCATGCAAGCCTGTCAGGACCTTAAGTCTAGTGTCTGGATGAAGAATGAGGAGAGAGACAGAGATGGCTGTGCCGTGTGACAGGTGGCAGTCACAGAGCAGTGTACTGTGACACAGGGTCTGTGGAGCAAACCACAGGTGCATACTCTTGAGCCTCCTGCTCTATGGTGAGGATACCCCAGGGTCCTGTGCTGAGGGTGTCCAGGGTCTCGTGCTAAGGGTGCCCTGGTTTCTGTGTTATGCAGAGTGGCATTATATGGAGCGCTCACAGGTGCTGAAGGGCCCTTCTGGAATCTGTGCGTGAGCATGATCATTTGTATACTGTATAGCTTTCTTCCCAATTCGGTGGTGGTGGTGGGTGCCCTGGTGACACCA